TCTTCCTCTGGCAATATGCACCCTGATTTAACCTAAGAATAAAGTAGGGTTTGTCAGGCAGCCTAGCTCTGAGCATCACAGGTTTTAAGTTACACCTGAAAATTCTGCAAAAGTCAGGAATGTATTACAATAGCATCTTTAAAACAAAATAAAGCTGAAAGAACAATATATGAGCTTAATTATTTGGAAAATGACATTATACAATGATCACCTTTCTCTGTCCTTTCTCCTACTCCCTTTATGCCTTAAAACCTATCTTGGTTTGCTGGCAGTAAGTGCAATGCAGCTGAATGTAGGCCTGCATGGGCCCAATCATGTACCTAGCATCCAAAACTGTCTTGGAAGTTTACCAAGTGCATGGACTGTGAAACCAGAATTCAGAAATCTTATGCTAGAGATACATCTCAAGAAGAATTACAAACTCAAGCAACACAAACAACTTTAAAAGGACAATCCTGTCATGATTAGCCTTGCACTGATTATTTAGAGGCCTGAGCCTTAAAATCTGGCACTAGTTGCTGAGTCATAATTACAGATTTGTTGTATGCTATCCTTCAGCAGCAGTGGAAGGAGGGAAATCAACCAGACTACCATGACAGAGCCTTCTTAATCTGAAATCCTGATTTTTTTTTGCAGTGAGATTAGAATGTTAGTTTCACCTGAGGAGTCAGCAGATGCCAGTATTATCTGTAACCCGGAAAGCATTTAGAGAAAGTTGGATCTTCAAATAATAAATATTAATGAAAAAGACACATTATTTTTAGAGCACCAAATGCTTTTCCATCTCAAAATACGCTGTTCTTTCCTATTCTGTGCAAAGAAGATGGTGCTGCAGTTGGCTTCTTTCAAAGGAAACAATACAGCAAATAACCCATTGGGATCCAGCTGACGGGCTTTTAGATGAATGCACACTTGCCTCATTGGAAGTGGGTCCCATCAATACATGCCATGCAACCTTCTGATGCCTGCTATTGTATAAAAGTTAAAAGCTCCATCTTCCCTCTGACATGACACATTTATTTATTTATTACATATAAATATGATGTTTCTGATGCAGTCATTGACAGGTAGGAACTGATGTCAGCCGGTACCTACAGTGCTATGCCTCCCTCATCTGAAATCACTCTCCCACTGTGCTGCATGACTGCTAAACAGGATTCCTCCTCAAAAAGGTTTTCTTCAAGCACTTTTGTTTGAGACAAACCTAAAAAGGTACAGAGCACCTGCAAAACCTCCAGCGACTGCCAAAGCAGTGCTAGACCTCAAGCTTGTGGAAACTTCCTCCTCTTTAAAACAAATCAAATGGAGAAAAAAAAAAAAAAGGAAAAAAATAAACAACTGTCAGTACACTGTGGACCTTATAATTAGCCTAACCAGTATATTTCTGCTTCCCCTGAGGTGCATCATAATGTGTATTTAATGAAATCCTCCTTTTCTCTATATCCCTAGCTGTTTTATATACTATAAATTATGGATGAGCTTCTGTTTATATATGCAATCTTTATGCTATAAAATAAAGACCACTAATACAGCACTTAAAACACACCAGGGTGCCTTCACTCCATCAATGTTTAAATGCCATACAATTTGCCAACTGGTCTTTTGCTCTCTTGCTGGCAGTGATGTATGGCAGGTGAACTGGAGTGAGAGAGCAGAGAAGCATCCACCCACTGCTCTGCACTCCTCCTATCCCAACACTGCACAGCCTTTGCTTATTGGTAATGAGAAACAGATGGTGCCATCCATCTCTTTTTATGAGATGAAGAAATAAAATATTCAGCCCTGTTTCACTATTTTTAGCCTGGGCAAGGGATCTCAAAGAAATCTTAGAGGAGAAAAAAAGAAGAAATGTCTATAGTTACTAGCACATTGTAGTACTGCAGTTAAACAATCAATACTATAGCCTGGAGGGGGGAAGTGAGGAACTTTAACTTATTTAATTACTTTTTCAAAGCAAGTGGTTTTGGATGAGCAGGGAGGTAATGCTGGGCTTCCAGAGACCACTGGAAGTTTCTGGCTGATATGGATGAGCTGCACACAACTAGCTGTGATAAAAAGAAAAATTGCTTGGCAGGTGAAACCACAAGGTGATATCTGGGATTATTACAGTGCTCCTGACTCTGTAAGAAGTGATTTTGGTAATAAAAAGCAATGCAACAATAAACATGGGTTTCTGAAGGCCAGTGTTACAGCATGAAATTGTTCTGTGTTATATATTATTAGTTTCATTGTTCTAGCAAAAGCATATATATTATCTTCTGCACAGAAGACAAGAAAAATATTTCCTGTAAGATAAATTTTAAGTTTTAAATGATGAGATTCCGACTGCCTTAAAATTTGCTATCCTTGGCTCCCTTCCCCCTTCATGTCTGTCTTTCTGTTAATCATGTTTCTTCTTTCCTTTTATTTAATCTATCCTGCCTCTGCTAATTTGTTAGCCTGGTACCAAAGAAATACTTGGACAGGGTAAATTTTAGTGAAATAACCTTTAATATTTATTATGTAAACACGTTCACATATGTAACTCTGACACAGTAATAGTCTCCTTGGATAGCTTTTCTAGAAAAAAAAAAAAGAAAACTTGTTTTTCTTCTTCCTTCCATTGGGATTGTTGTGGCCACTGTGACTGTCTACAAAACCCTTGGTTAAACTAGGAACACCAGTGCTAATAAATCTATTGCAGCAGATTAGCCCTTGTTAGCCGTGGCATGTACTAATATTAAAAGGTTTTAATCATTACAGGCAGATCTCTGCCTAAACCAAGCCATCACACACAGATCAATGCTAGGGTGTATATACACAGATCAAGAGTTTGGTTTTTTTTTGTCAACATAATGTCATCAGTTAGGAACTAAGAAAACTTCACTTATTGTAGTGGAATCCAAGATTTGTTATTACAGACTTGGACTCAAGAGTTCCTGGGAGGCAGTAAGGAGATTTTCCTGGAATGGGCATAGCCCTCTCTGCCAGCTTCTGTAGAAGCTAGGTTTCATTTTGGGAAGAAAAAAAATTGCAATTCTTTTGGCAGAAAGGATAACTTTCTCACACGATATACAGAAAAGAAAGTGATGTGGTTTAGTCCTGCAAATCTACTGACAGATGCACGCTTCCCGTTTGTCGCTGAATGAAAACAAAGTGGAATGGAAAGCAAGTTCAGGAGAAGAAATTTGAGTTGTTTCAGCACTGCTGATGCAAATCAAGCAGGCTCTGAGTGCTCTGCATTTGCTCTGCACAAATTGCCTTTCAGTAGACTTTCCAGCAGGCCAAGGTTCTGTGACTTTAATCGTGCTATCTAACAGCCTAACACAAGTGCAACTATCTTAGCTATGGGAATGACTAGAGCAATACTTCCTTTACAAGGGTGTCTGGTCATACTAATCAAATACTCCTCTATTCAGAGCAAAGCAAAAATAAATATATACACACTTCAGAGGAGAAGAGGGTTAGATTAAACAACCCTAGCAAAGCAAAATGCAGGAACTAAATTTATGGGAGAGATGAAACAAGTCACAGCAGATGGCCAAATTTATTCATGCTCCTTAAAGCACTGTGGGAAGATAATTGGAACAAATGGTGAAAAATGTGGCAAAACACCCTGTACAGAGGTAGTGTCCTTATAAAATACTGTACACATCTGGATCTCCAGTTCCGACTGATGGCTACAGAGGTTTTGAAGTTGTTTGTACCTTAGTGTGACATTTCTGCTTCTCCTGTGTTTTTCAAAAAGTCTACTATTACTAAAACCAGTGAGCCTCCTTCTGGCAAAAAAATCAGGACTAAATTGTTACTTCAGAAGAGAATTTCAAAATGTGTTGAGGTCAAAGTTAACTGTTCAAATGCAGAACAGACTTCTGATATAATGACTGAGGATTTGAACTGCATATTTATCTGAGTCCTGTCCTTAAGAAAGAAAACTCGTTTGAGTCAGAGACAGAATTAACTCTCTCTCTCTCCTGGCTTTTATATCCACAAACAACTTGCCTAGGAGCGACAGAGCAAAGTGCTTAAATCATGCTCACCCTAAATCTGGTCACTTATTAACAGTGGCACATTACATCAGTACCCCTTCATTTTGTTAATAGGTAGAAGACTAGGATGCGAGTCTGTATCTCAGCAACTCTGGCCCACAGTCAATATTCTGGCATAAATCTGTTCTCACTGGGAGTGTAAGTGAGCAAACTTAGCTGGGAACTAGGACATAGCCCACGTTCAGTTCTGGTGGTTCTGCTTAGCAGGGGAGAGGTGGTTACTGGAACAGTAGCAGGACACTTGGGAGCAGCAGCTTAAACCACAGTGTCAAAATGCACTGGAACTAACTCATCTGTCACTGCCTTCCCTCTCTGATTGTCAAAATGCTTGTCCAAGCCTACAGCTTATTTTCACTTCTTTTTACTTGCTGTTCTTTTAAAACTCTTGCTAATGCAGCTTGTCAGATTTTCTTCATCTTTATAGCAGGAGATAAAGACATTGTGCTGAGAAATAAGTAGAAGGAGGAAACACTCCTTAGTGTAAGACATAAATGGTGCTCTGCAGCTGAGTTTACTTTTTTTGTTGCTGGTGGTGGCTGTTATTTGTAAGATGGTTAAGGAGAAAAAGAAACATTACAGAAACCTAACTTTATACAAAAGAAAACATAGCACTCAGCAAAGACCTACATTAAAGGTAAGTGAGCAGAAAAACAGTTCTGAGGAATAAACACTAACACATAAGGCATTGAGTCCTGTTAGCATTCAAATCAAGCAGTGAGACTGCTCCTATCACAAACTTAGTCCTCCCCGACACAGTCAACCGAAAGAACACCATGTCTGTGATGTGCCTCCATGGCCCATGGGATGTTAGGAAAGCATGCAACTGAGTGACAGCTTGTTCAGACACAGAATTAATGCTCCTTCTCTGCAAGTCTCTACGTACCAATCCAGGCAGCGAGTACACTTATCCATGACTGCAAGCTGCTGCTTCTGTGCAGCAGAAAACACGGATGATTGTGCTGTGGCACTCACCCACAAGGTGTAGGACCCCCTGCGGCTCCCTGGGAATGTCAGCATGCTCTGGTCGCCTCGGCCTGCTCGGGTTTGCTTTTCTGCTTCTTTATAATCTGCAGGGGAGGGGAGAAACGGGGTGGGAGAGGACAGAAAAATGCTGCTCGGGAAATACTGTCTGAGCCATATGGAGGAGATCTAGGTGAACCCCGTCTCGAGGCAAGCTCCCCAGGAAAAAACATTGGACTTTCCCTTTGCTCTAGCTCCAGCTCATGTAATTACTTCTCATCTGAAGTCCTACCTCTTGCAAGCACATAAGCATCGATGCAATATATAACAGTGCCTGTAGGAATACCAGAGGTGAATTACATAAACATAGAAACCTGTTGCTACAGTAACACTTCAGCAGCATCTAAGTGTCAAGTATTTTCTCAGACACGACTTTTTGCCAAGAGACATAAAATACTAGATATAAGGGGAATTTCAAAGGCTCCCACGACATGCAGACATTCTAGTGAGAACAATGAGGTCTAAGGTCTCTAGGCACTATTTTTATTTTTGAAAATCTTCACCATCTTGAGAGAGCTCATGTCTCCCTACACTGACAGATTATATCCTGCTACATTTCATTTCCACAACTGAAATATAAAATACCTACAGAACGTTATTCTATGGCATAAAAGATTTCGTTAGGCAGCTCTTGACAAAAGCAGCAATTCAGGCTTGGCTGAGAGAGGCTCTGGACTATGAAAGACCTGATAAACAGACTTTATAGTCTAACATCACCATTAAAAAAGAAGGCAGATTATTTTCCAGTGATCTGCTGCTTTTCTGGCTTGTCTTCATAGCCTTATGAGCAACATGTTCCTCCTCTGCTGTGTGATCCATACACTGCTAAATGCCACAGCCTATGCAAAGATGTGGCACCTAGCTTATTTCACATGGAAGGAGACTAACTTAGCAGAGTGGTTACTTTATTGACCGCAGGACCTTAACAGTGCACTCTTCATGCTCATCTTGCCTTACTCCAAACTGTCCAGACAAATTCAAAGGGTATTTTTTCCCACTAGCCCTCCACTTTCATTCTGCCAACCATAAGCTTTGCAACGAGAAGAATGAGCTTTATGTAAGAAGCCACAGAATTCAGACATGCCAAATGTTCTGTGATTTTTTTGAGTGTCTCTCACTTCATTAACAGCTAACAGCTGTTAACACTAACAGCTTCATTAAGACAATTCTGTGTTATTGAATGATATTGTTTTCTTTGAACATGTTGCAGATGGAGGGCTCAGTAGAGGGTATGGTCAGAAATCATACTTCTTTACACTGGCAAAGTTTATCTTTTGGGAAGTGATGTGTATGGTTGAGAGCCATACCTCTTGACATTAGGAAACTTTACGCCTGTGGGGAAGTGAAACACAGACGTAAAATTCCATCAAGCAAGGACATTCCCTTACAAGAAAGGACATCACAAACCTCAGGGAGTGGTACCTCCCAGCTCTGAACATGTAGGACATCAGGGTAGGCATTGGGTTGATCTTATAAACTGATCTCTGTCAGACATAGCTGATGAAGCCTACACTGTCATAGTTCATTTACTTTGCTTTCTACATTGGTGTCATATTTTTGTTGTTAGCAGTGTTTGAGCTCTAAACCACTGTCTTCTGGCTATTAAACATAGGGGGAAAAAACCATACCTTCTGCACAATGGTTGTGGCCAGCTCTTCTATGAGGTCCTCCTTGTGCTCCTGCAAGTAACAAGCTTCATTCTGCTTGTCCTGCATGAAAAGGGATATCTCTGTATTTGCTAGACTCACATAAAAACAGCCTTCCCACAGAAAATGTATAGATTGGGAAATGGGTAATATGCCCAATTGGCACTGTGGGAAGAAATTACAGACATTTAAAGTGCACGTCACCTTCTGAAATGCAATTGTTCTAGTTAAATTAATTATTTTTTTTGTTGTTGTTGAAAGTGTTACCAGGCTGTCACTGTAGGTCTCTGCCTTAGAAATAGCTTCTTCCACTGCTTCCTCTGCAACACGTAAGGCCACAGCAAGGGTATCCATCATGCTGTGTCCTAGATGAAGAATAAGATAAAACCACCATGTTCTCCATATACACATGAGCATTTTGCATCATGAGCTTCAAAATTTAGACTCATATTCTGGACACAAATTAAAATCTTAAATTGTTCATGAAAAAGTTATTTCCTCAATCCATAAATATGCACAGTAAAATAAAAAACTTAGGACAGAGAAATTTGTTGCAATCTCTAAGTTTCCACTTAAATGTAAATCTTAGATACCATAAAACATAGTATTTTTTTATGTTGCTTATTTTAAACTGTAACAAAATAGTTTGGTGAAAATAATTGAAAGAAAATTTGTGACGTTCCTATAAGCAGGAACAACAAAATTTAAGAAAGATAATGGAAAAAAAAAGAGCATAGGAAAGAAAATGGGACAGAAGTAACAAAAACTGAACATTAAGAAAGTCGCACTAGAATTGGCAGGTAGTTGGTGCAATGCTGGAGCAAGATGTCCCAGCATGGTACACAAAATACCTCTTGCTGAGGGGTTCACCCAAAATATTGCTGGATCTCTGGACAAGACTTACCAGCACTCTAAACTACTTGTCCAGTAATTCAAAGTGTAAGGAATGCTTTTTAATCAAACGAGATTTTAGCAGCATACCTTCTGTCTGCTGGTAGAAGGTAGAGTCACTGCCACAAATGCTTCCTTCATTCTCAAAGCTTCCTTCATACAAACTTCCTTCTGCTAAAAATAAAGACAGAATCATGTGTTTCTATGAGAAGAACATTAACAACAGAGGCATTATTAGATTAGAATATTCACTCAAGATATGGCGGCACTGCACACAATGAAGGATAACTGGAAAATTCCTCCTAGCTGTTGCTGTTTGATAAATCATGACTGCAGCAGTTTTTCTACAAAACATGACTTCTTTTATATCAAAGACTTCTCATTCATTTTGAATAGGAAAAAAAATATTACTACAGTAAAAAAAAGATGAAGAAGCTACTAGGCATAAAACATACATGACAGAAGTTAAGTACACGGAATTTGACTTAACTATGACATTTGGGGTAGAAATAGATTCAGTTTTTTAAAGGGCAATGCTGTATAAATAAAGCAAAACCCAGACACCTATACTAGTATTTATCTTCAAAGGGAACAAAAGGTTTACCTAACAGTCCCAGGGATAGCAGAAGAAAGTTAGCAATGACATTTAGACTCAAAGGCCTTCCTTAGAAAGGTCTCACCAAGAGTGCACATGCCACCGCAACTCATCATTGCATCATTCACACTTCCATTCAAGTACCCATTCACTGAGACTGTGGTTAAAAAAAGACAACACATAATATAAAAGTTCAGAAGCATCCCTGGCCACCGTTTTTACTTCCACTGTCCCACTTCTGTCCTAACTGAAACAAGATCTGCTTGTCCTCATATGTATTTGGTCTCAGTTGTTAAGGAATCTTCTCATGAAATATGAAAATGATAGCCAAAAAGGAAAAACACTAATAAATCACAATTTAGTAAATAGGTTGCTTGTTCCTGAAACCTTTATGTCAATTTTCATAATAAAAACCTAAAATTTCCTCTCAGAACTAGAAAGTCTACTTATCATCCCATATATTTTCAGAGAAAGACAAAGGACTGTAGACTGTATCTCCATACAAATTTTGAAAGAATTATAGGAGTAAATTATCTGGTCCAATGAATCCAGTGAAATGTCAAATATTCAGCTACTTGTTTTCTAAGTAATTTGCTGAAGTTACCAGTATGACACCAAGCTCCACTTCTTCAAAGACATATTCTGACTGCAATCACTCTTCTTATGGGGTGGGGCATTAGGACAGGATAGTTAGGGGTGAACTGTGTCTTTGCTAAAAAGGTTGATGCCAATACTTTATCAGTATCTTTTACCTATTTACAAACATTGATACAAAAATAAAATGTGGCCAGTTCCAGACCCTTAAGCATGCAAAACTCTAAGTAAGGAAATGTCAGTTTTGGTCAACTTGGATACTGAATGTATCTCATGTTCATCAAGTTTTGCTTCAAACACCACAGAAATATGCCAATGGTCAAAGGTTGAATGCCAAATTATTTTCTCATTCTTTGACTACTCAGAACTGTGATAAATTTGGGGACACAAGCTAGAATACAAACTGCAATTTACTTTATAGACACTTCTTCTGAATCAGTGACATATTTAAGATTAAACATAGTTTGAATTTTTAAACAGCTCTCTATACACTTCATCCTTTTCTCTCTCCACTGAGGTATTTCTTCTGCAAACAAGAAAATTGCATTAAAAAAACTTTCTTGAAATAATCTCAGAATTTCCATTGTCTCAGCTTCTGTGTTAAAATAGATAAGAATAAATATTATAAGAGATCAACACAGCTGTTCTTACCTATTGCATCAGGACAAAGTCCGCTCTCCAGTCTATGCTTCTTGTACAAGTTCTTCAGGACCTTGGCACTTCCAAAACACTTAAAGCGGCTTTTGACATTATTATAGTACCAATCCAGAGACTGGGTCCTTAGAAGCCTAAAACAGAAAAATAAACTACATATTTGGAATGATTCTACAACAAATAAATGGGGGAAAAAAAATCTTTTAGGCCTCTGGTAACAAACTTATTAATTTCTGAATACTTCTTTATCGTTTGTACTTTACAAGGGTCTGGTACACTAAGGAAAGAAAAACCCAACAGGTTAAGCCATAAGTAAATATCTTCTTCACATTACTCAAGTGTTTATTTGGTTTTGGCACTATCAGATGAGGTGGTCTCCCCTTCAACATGATAATGCTCATGCTGCAGCCTCTTAAAAAATACAAACAAGCATCTGAACAGCACAGGACTTAAAATTAGCCTTCATTTACACAGATTTACAGATACAATGAGATACTTGTAATACTTGTAAGAACAAGCCCATCAATGTGCCACAAAAACCCTCCATTTACATAAAAATACATCACTGCTTTTATCTGGGGAAAACAATAGAGTAGACAAAGCCTAATAGAGAACCTCAAAGCAGAATGAGTCCCAGTTTGCTTTCTCACTTTCCACAGGAAGCATCACTGACAACAGTAATTCATCTTAACAGACTTGTCCCCAGAGCTCAGGTACTTTATAAAGCCATGAAATATGGGAAAGCTCCGTATTCTTTCCAGTGTGGCATGTGGCAACTTGCTTCACCTGTTCCTTCAGCAGTGCATGGAGAGAACCTGTGCCACATTCCCAGGCAAAAACAACCTCAGGGTAACCCACCACAGACCTGGACATTTCCTACTGAGGATGTCACTGGGGGGGGATCCTAGGGGTCCACCTATAAATTAAAGCTGATCTTTTCTTAACAGCAGATTTAGGAGAACAAAAGGCTAATGTCAGTGCCCAGCGTCAATATATGAGCCCCTAAAGAAATGATGTCACCACCAGGAGGGCCGGACTCTCAGCATTTCCAGGCATCAATATATTTAAATGATTTAGCACCACTGAAAAACAAAATGAAATGACAGTCTCACTGTCACCTTTAAATTTTCCTTCAGGGACTCTGGACTTCTCTTTGTAAAGGGCAAGGCAAGTGACAATGCACAATGCACAATTTTTGTTTTGTTTTCTCACCTACTGACAGACTAGAAATGTAGTTCTTACTCAGCGCCAAACCTCAGGAGATACTCAGTAACAAACATGTTGAGCCTGGGGGTTCAACTATCTGTTTCCAGTCTGAATCCAGACTTTTTAAATTCCAGTATACTGATAAAAGGAAACATTCACTTCATGAAAAGCAGAACATCACGATAGAGTCTACTTGTCTGTCATCACTGGAAAGTGCTTAGTAGCAAACACCAGCAGTGGGAAATTAAAAATAAAAATCAATGAAGCCTATCGTATTCAAACTGTGAATCCTTAAAGTTACATTAACTGCTCTACAGAAGAAAACTGAAGAAAAAGCTTATCATGGAACAGAAGTCTATTTTTTCGGCATTCTGTCTCAGCAAATAGATGCAGGAGAGATTTTTACACATAATGTAAGAATATTAGCCCTTTAATATCTATTTGCACAGTAATATCCCAAGCCTAACTATGGTTCCCAGGAGCACAGGAGGCTGATTATTTCCAATATTCACCATTCTACAAATATCACTAGCATGTGACAAGGGCAAAAATCCTTTTTTGTTTTTTGTTTTTTTTTTTTAAACATCCTTCCATGTGGTGCACAGATGACTCTGATGAAACACAAGTGTCCAGAGCACAAACAATGGGAAGGATGCCTTGGTCTGTCTGTGAAGTACAGGGTTTCTGAATTCCCATAATGTTGCCACCAAGAGTTCTGCTATGATGCCTGTCCAAGACCTGACGCTCTGGCCAGACCTTCACTGCTGGCACAGTGATGAATCTGAATGGAGAAGAATTTCTCTCCCAAACCTGCAATTCTTTGTCATTTTAAGGGCCTGGGTTCTTTGTGGGCAGGAAACACTTGCTCTCATGTAAACTGCATCAGAATATTAAGTCTTCTGCTTGCTGAATTTCATTCACTTTTGTCCACTGAGTTTCTACAGAATCTGACAGGGTAGGATTTCAGTCAATAGTACAGAGTCACAGTCACTATGAAGGACAAAACTGCATGGCTGGGTTGGAACTGGCTTAAAAGGAGGTGTTGACCAAAAAGGATGCTCTCCTGCCCAGTAAATTCAGTGTTCTCCAAGCTGTTCACAAAAAAATATTGCAGCACCATCACCACTAGGGGACTCACAGCACTGGGAGTCCTTAAATACATTGTTCTAGGGCTTTGAAGATCCTCACTAGCTACCTCAGCTGCACTAGCTCAAAATGCTAAACTTGTCATCTTGGAAGCCAAGTAAACCCAGTTCTTAATATTCAGACAGAGTTAAAAAAAAAAGAGAGTCACCTATCTTTGAATGCTCTGTGTGAGTTAAGATAGCCAGCTATGAATGATGACCTGGCAGCTTGGGGAAACAAAAGATGTGATTCACTGCAAGCTTGCTTCCTCATATTTTTCCCTGTGTCACCATGCTTTAGCAGAAAGCTAACAGCACTGGTTTCTTGACGAGGTGAGAAAGCTTTGCAACTAAAACAGGTTTTTTATTTGTAATGATAACATTTTCCGTATGTGAATTTCGGCAGAGTCAAAAGGATAGAGATTATACATCTCAAAGCAACTGTGAAGGAGATGCCTGCCCCTTTGTACTAGTTAATCTGGTGTAAACAGAAGGATTTTTTATTTTTTTATTTTTTTTTTTAGGTTTCCTCGTTGCTGCAGGATTAACACTTTGTAAGTAATCTAATCATCTCATGCTTCCCTCCTATGAGCTGGAGAGCTACCAACGCTCCAAATCTATGCCTAGGTCCTGAACATGTTTTATAACAGATTACAATGCCTTCTCTAAAGCTTTTCAGCCTCTTAACTTTCAAATAAGTCACAATGTCCCTGCTGATTCCTCCTACGGAGAAAGGATTTGGAGAAGAGAGAACTTCTTTTATAGATACTAAAATAAAGGACTCACTCAAAAGAGAAATAAGAGCATTTTCACCTCATTTCAAAATCCTTTAATCCTTTTCTACAAAAGCAGTCCATGAGTCCAGAATAATGAACGACTTTGACAGTACTAACATTAAATTTTTGGAATGAAACACTTCCCTTATTAGCTTTAACAGAAAGCATGCAAGTTCTCCCTGTGAAATTAAAGTTCACATTTAAAGGATATTATTTGTCTGCATTTTAAAGAAGCAGGACTGGTTGACAAGCCATTTCTTGCTCTTTCTGTGCAACAAAGAGTGTTATGTCTTTACTGATAAATAGCTTTAAACACATTATTGATGCTATATAATATTGCCATGGATTTGAGTTGCATTTTGATGTGATTTTGGCAGAGGCCAATATTGTGATTTTAAAATTCTGTCTTTCTAGAAAGAGTGAAAGCCAGGAAGATGCTTTTGATATAGCATTAAAACTTGAATTATAAAGCCCTAGTCCTTTTTTTAGTGCCACAATGTTTTTGTCGTAATCAAGCAGCACCATGAGAAGGAATAAGCCAATTAAAACCTTTACAATTTGTTTTCAGTACACTTCTCATCCAAAGCACCCAAATAGTAAAGTTCTAGCATTTCCTTCAGGAAAAAAAAAAGTACACCAGTGGTGTTGGGAAGTGGGGACATGAACCACCTGCCTCATTATTAGTGATGACCAGAAGACAATCAAATGAAAGACATCACTCACACATCACTCAAAACAGGAGATTCTTTAGTAACTGATTTATCATTTTAATTCTTTTTTCTTCTAAAAAATTGAGAGGTTTTACTTGGTCTAAAGGCAATATGGAGCTTTTGCAAGAACTTTTCTCAAAAAGGTAGTACCAATCTAATATGTATGACCTTAATCTCTATTCACAATACAAGCTGAACTGTGAAGAAATGTTTTATAACAACATTTTTCTGTTTTTTCATTTTTCCATGAATTTTGTGAGAAGTTTCCCCTCCACAAGATGAACTAGTCACTTACTGAGCTGCAGTCTAGTTTCTATAAGTCAGGAGGTGCTTCCAGAAATCTTCAAAATGCTTACATCATTTGTCAGGGTGAACACATAATCGCTTGATTTTCCTTGCTACTGACTTTCACTGGATAATGAAGATTCTTTTTTTAGCTTTTTTTACCTGTCTTAAGGTATCTTCCATAGTTTTATGCTGACACTCAGGCCAGTAAACTATTTTAGTCTCTCAAATGCCATCCTGTGCTTCTCCTGCTGTGCCCATGACCCATTACCCAGCCTGAGGTCACTCAAGATCTGCATTCATCAAGTGATTAGTTTCACTTAGGAATGGAGCTGCTTTACAATTCTTGGACCTTTTTACTTTTGCAGATGTGACAATTTTTTTAAATTAAGAAAATTTAAAAGGCAAATAAAACCCATCTCTGAAATACAGGACTATGCACAGGTCAAAACTGCTGCTCTGTGGGGAGGCTCCAAAGCACAACACAACCACATCAAACTTGAGAAATATTAGAAATGCAAATTGCCAGTGGAAAAGCAACATCAATGTTTAGTTTTCACTCTTGGAAAGCATTCCCTGAGCTCACTGAACTGCCTGGAGGTTGAGCCAGGAGTGAAGTGATGGAGGGGGTGGGAGCCAGGAGAAGACTGACTATTGAGCTCTGTCAGAGCTGGGAGATGGTGGACATGACTCCCCAGAGCAGACCTGCTTGGCCAGATGCTGGGCTGGGGACAGAGCCATGCTGCACTTCAACATTCCTGCCCTTAACCCTGATGTTCCCCCGCAGACAGGTGACTGCTGCTGTGGGACTGACATCCTCGAAGCCTTGGTCCCTCCTGGGGAGCTGCACATCCATCTCCCTCTGGCTGCATTAGTGCCATGTTATGCATCAGTGGTTGGGAAACTCCAGCTAATACAGAACTAAGCCGTGACAGGCACGCTGCCCCCCACGGGCTCTCTCCCCGTACTGACTCACACGCAATATGAAGCTCAAGGCCTTTGTTTCCATTTCCCAGCACAAAGTGGCCTCAAC